GGGAAAGAAAACCCAAACCAGTACCCAGTAAAGAATTATGTTTCAGAAATTCAGCTATTCACAACGATATAATATCTCTCTAGAATCATTTAACATATAATTCCCTGCAAATTTAGACGTGTATTTTTTCCTTATAACATTAGCTGTAAATACACCACTTAGGTTGCCAGCCTTTTAGCAGATCTACACTAACAATTAAATAGGACTTTTAAACTGAATTGATCTATGTTAACCTTTTTAGTGTGAACCAACAAGAATTCAAGCTGAGAAATATCAGCTGTCAGAAGCCACTGGAGGACTATCTACATGTTTTAGTGATGACATTTTCAATTTTATCTTTAGGATAAATTTAATGCAAGTCAATACAAAATCATGCAGCTTCAAAAGTTCCTTTTGTCAGTGGCATCCCACTTCTATACTTAAGCACATAGTTAGACTGTTTGTGTCAGTATAGATGCTTCCCTAAATCAGAACTTAGTTTAGGTGCTCTAAATAACTGTAGATGTGTGAAAAAAATGGAAAACTGCAGTTCAGTGGAACTAAACTGTGAATCAGGGTCTGGAAGATAATCTGAAAAGACAAATACAAGTTAAAACTGTAGAAGTCACATACCTCTTCACCTTTTTCTCCATGATCTCCTTTTTGAGCATTGCCCTGTTGGAAGCAAAGGAATACAAGTGAAATATGTATTTCATTTATCACTATTACACTAAAACAAAGAACACTGTTTAAGGAGCAGAAGTAGCTTTTCCTGTTTATGAACTTCCACACTTCCTCCAACATGATTCCTGAACATTAACTGTTATTAGATGACTGAAATCTTAAGTCATCAGAGCAAGCCTCTCTGCTCCAGAGATTTGTGCACTGTTAGAAAGCTCTGTGGAACTTCAGAGAGCCTTCAGCTAGGTTCAGAGACCTCTGTTGTCAGTGAAAAACTGCAATGATAATCAGTGTTAACTTGGTACCAGTTAAGTTTGAAATTTTTCTCTCTCATTTCTAAAGCAGCTCACTATAAACCTCTCATAGCAAAAGTCAATCTTTTACATAATATTTTAACATACTTTTCCTTCTCTATATTCACTTCTATGGTTTGCATAAAGCCATACGAATTTGTTTTATTTTTCTAAATTCACTTTACCTTGTTTCCTTTTGGTCCTGGCTCACCTTTTTCCCCTCTGTTACCATCACTGCCCTGAAACAAAGCAGGAAAATGTTATTCCCATTGTAAAAATAAAATTCTCCAGTTTCTCTAAGACAACATGTTTGGGGACAGGCAAAAATCATTCTGCAATAAACTTCGGTAGGAAACCACACCAATTCAGGTACAACATGTATGACAATACTTTGACAGCTAAAAAAGATCTGGTATTATAAGGTTTCTGTGATTTTTAAAAAATCAATATTCAATGATAATTACATTTTCTACAGAGCATTTGAAAATGTAACCAGGAAGGTATCACAGAAAACACATGCAGTTCCTCCTCCTTATTTTTCAGTTACCTACCACTATCTGATCTTCTCATCTTAGAAAAAACCCCTATGCACAGAACAGCTTAGTGTCAATCTTCAGCAGCCCCAAAATAAAAAATTAGTACACCATTTTTCCTGTCTGGAGGATCATGAAGGTAGGAACTTGAAAGCTCAGTGTATACGTGTACATATAAAAAATACATAAATAATAGGTTACATCTAACCATTTTGGATAAAATAACTTAAAATTTATGGGTCATAGATTTTAAATTGGAAACAGAGATGTTAGTTCCAGATGCACATTATCCAGAGCCAGGGGACTGGATGATAGGCCCTGCTGTCATAACCTGCTGCACATATGGTTGACCAGTTGCCTATTAGCTAGGGAGAAAGGCAAAAACCTCTCTATGTACCTTCTTTGTCTCTGGGGAACTATTAAAGTTACCAAAAGGATCAGAGAGGTCACACACTGAGTCTGAACTCCCACTTCTCCCTTCTTTACCAGAGCCAAGAAACAGTTATGTCTTGAAGTGTCACAAGAGAAAAGAGTGTTGGAGGCAGAGTTTTAGACCTCTCCTCATATATGCCATCATCCACAATCTTTTGAATCTTTCTCTCTTATAGAAGGAGAAGCTGCTGGTGGAAGTAAACCTGTATCTAATGGACCTTCCCTTCCCAAATAGAGAGATTCAAGAATAACTTTTTTATTTGGGCTTCATAATAATGTACCTATTTACACACAGTGTTTTATTACCCAATAATATAAATATATTTCCAAGCTAGTATGTGACTATTGATAGATTTTTTTTCTGAGCTCTTATACCAGTGGCCTTGCACAGTGAATTGCTATGATACATTGCTTCTTTTTGCAGTACATGCACAGCTAACGTCTTGCTTTTTACAGACATAGTAACCAATTTAAATACTGTGCAACATTGATCTCAATCATTCAAATTCAAACTCTGGAAGCTTTTCAAATGAATGCAATACTTACAGAATCACCTTTGTCTCCTTTTGCTCCCTTTTCACACTCACAGTTCTTCTGCATACACTACAAGGTGAATAGAAACACAAAGGAGAATATTTTTTAAATTTATTACTTCCAATTTTAAAACAAAATCTGTTTTTTCCTAGCCACAACTAGAGAACATAAAAGTGGAATAACAATAAATAAATTCTTTTCTAATATGTATTTCTTTTATAATTGACATTACACTTCTGTATAGCCCAGTCAAAATCAGTTGCTTGATTTATTTGTAACGAAGACAAATAAATCTGTTACTACTGTAATTACAAAGGTTTAAGGTTGCATATACATAGTATATAATACCATGAAACCTTACCTGATTTTTGGGCCATGTTGACGTTGCTATTGCTTTCTAATGAGACAACTAATGAACTTGCATGTGTTGTACTAGTCGTATTCCACTCTGGTAGGAAGAGTTCTTTATGCCTTACTGTTGATACTACTCACTAATGAACAGAAGTTGAAGATTTCTCAGGAGGAGAGATGGAAGAAATGGATGAAAGTAAAAATAAAAGCAACCATGGTTGAAACTTTACTCAGGGAAGGAAGGCTGATTTCTCCTGGAGTGTTGTTATACTACAGAAGCAGACATCAGGAGATCTAGTATGAATAAGAGTAATTGAAACACAGAACTCAAAAATCCTACCTGCTTCTGAAGCAAGGCTTCCTGAAAAGAAAGGAAAAATATTACTTTCATACAAATTTAATTTAACAGACTACTAATTTAACCTTTTTTTTTCTCTCTAATTTAAAGAATTTCCAAGATGAATGGTAAAGAATGTGAATACCTTCATCCCTTCTTCACAGTGGTAAGAACCAGCCTATCAAACTACTCGTATGAAAACGGTTCTCCAGTAGGAATAGGGGGTTACTTCATGTGATCCTTAATGATCAGAAAACAACTGAGATGTAACGGGACAGCTAAATAGACATATTAAGGAGCAGTGCTAACAAGGGGCACATGAAAAGACTTCCTAATGAAAGGCCTTACTATGGAAGGCCATACTAACATAATGTAGGGGAAGGACTGTGATTTTATCAGCCTTATGATAAAACAATGCCATGAAGAGAACAAGTTACTTTCTGAAGCATTATCATACACTCAGAGACACACTCTGTATGCTGGAAAATACCCTTTCCTTCCATCGGTGATCAGTGCAGCTGAGCTATTATTGTTCAAGCACACATCTCCTTGGAGAGTGGCTGGGAGGAGAAGCTCCCTCTGTCCTGACTCCTGATATAGCAGAAACATGCACCACAAAAACGTCTGCACTGCCTTTGGGACTTACCTAGCAAAGTTAAATGAAACCTGCTATGGATGGACATGTGACAAGATTACCATCAGCATTACTTACCAGTTCCAATGTTACATGAACTTTCAGGTTCTGATCATCCAGGCATAAGACATGTTTAGAGGATATATCACCAGATATCACATGCAATTTTTCTTCTTGAACATTGTCCTTAGAAAGGCCAATGGTAAAAAAAATGTATTCCAAGACTCCTAGCTGCTGTGGCTCTACTCTGGACATCAGGGTTGTTTGGATGATCTACACCATCAGTCACCAAAAAAGCCACTTCTACACTTCTCTTATGACCTTCAGTTTTAAACAGCTGAGTGGCATTGTAAATTGCATAATAGGAGTAGGTGCCATGACCAATACAATCTAGAGACTTGAATTTCTCTTTAAAATTTTGCACATTCTTCCAGGCTGTAAAGGGATGATCAATGCTGACTGTGCTGCTGAACTGCATACTTGCTAGTTTGACATTATACATCTGAGACTTAACTGGCTTCATCTGGAAAATGCTGTTAGTTAAGTCTTGAACAAAATTCTTCTGTAAATCAAACGACTTATTTTTGGCACTTTCTGAACTGTCCAAGATAAAGACTGTATCGATGAGGCACGTATCACCTGTAATGGAACAAGAAATTTAAATCTATGAATGATGAACATACCTGCACTACAGATTTGAGATAATTCTCTGCAACAATCCCAGCCCTCAAATCACTTCCTCAAAGATTCCTCTGTCTTTGCAGTAAAAATTCTAAGGATAAATTCCACTGCAAATGCCAAGAAATTCTACTGAAATCAAGTAGCTAAATTTAAGTTACTGTAATTCATACCAGTATTACTAAATATAGTCTACAGGCAACAGCTTTAAAAAGATGGTCTTTATGGGATTGTTTTATCATTTTAGTTGATTTTGCTTACAAAACATTCCACAGGCAATTTTAAACTAAAAACTAGGCTCCTTATATTTTATCTTAAAAGATATACGCATGTTAATGAAAACCATAGATCAAACTGGAGTCCATGACCGAGTAGATGTCACCACAGTACTTTCCAGGCCTGATAATCAAAATAAATCACATTTAATAGATGCATACATAAGTTGTCAATTACTAGCTAATTATCCTGAAATATGTGGAGACATACAAGATGGTCAATAAGGAATTTTAAGAAAATGGTTTTACCTTCATCTTTTTGCATGAGAGAATAAGGATTCTTTCCTTTCTTTCTGCTTTGCCCATATACTATCTGGTTTGTTGTCACAGCCAGAAGTAAACAGCAAAAGAAAAAATGTTTTTTCCACATAGTGACTTTGATCCCAAACTAGATGAATTCTCCTTCCTGTTAAAAGTAAAAAACCACCTGTGAATACTTCATTTATAGATGCAAATAAATGCAGATATTCCACAACCAGAATACATATTTGGGGGAAGCACAATTCTAGAGACAACATGCAAAAAACAATTATAAAAAGTCATTGGGTAAATGATTTAGGAATAGCAGCCAGTACAATCCCAACTGTAGCTCACATGTGTATTAGAACCTGTTTTATTAGACAAGAAATATGAGTAGTGCAAACACCTTAAAAACCATCAGTGCTACCTTTACCTTTGATTTGAACACCTAACAGAGAAGGATAAATGAAATTGTTACTAATGCATATTGCTGTTAACATACTTTGTTATTAAACTCATTATATCAAATTAGCAGAAATATTACAGAAAACATGGAACATAGATTGTTTCTAAAAATCCCTAATTGTTAGGAATAAGCAAAAATCTGGGTGTTTTCAGATGCATATATATTACCTAGGTCTGGAGCATCAGTACCAACTTATTCTTCTAAGAAACAATGGCTTAGTAATGAAATTCAGTACATGAATATATTATTAATATTACATGGCTGTAACAGAATGTGTGCAATATTTTCCATAAAGACGATATTCTACTATAATGACAACATACACTAAGAAAATGAACATTACGACATTTAAGTTTGTGATTCAACAGATCTCTAAACTGAACTCCTGTTAAGCTGATTTACAAAAAATGCCTGTAATTTACAATAATTCATTTTAAATATCATTAATAACAAAGACAATATATTAAATTTAAATATCCTTCCTAAATCTTTTCAAGTCCATCATGCAGCTACAGAAACCATAAATGCAGTCCTCTAAAGACAGAAAGGAAATAACTAAGTATTTTATCTTCAAAAGCATTCAAAAAGCAAATTGTGGATTCAGTAAGCTGTCAATGTGGAAAATATGTCCAGTAAGTCATGTTGGAAAACATGTTCTGTTTATTAAAAAAAAGCAATCTGTCAGTAAAAAGCCTACCCACTTGTAAGTGGCTCTCTTGCATCTAGACCCTTTATAGTCCATTATTGCTGTTTAGTTGGCCAAAGTTTAAATGAAGATAGGCAGGCACTTAGCCAGGGCTGAGTGGGAGACCAAGCCATTTTATTAAAGGGACAGTGTCAGTCTGGGAGCACAAGCATTTTCCTACTTTAAAGAACTGAACTTTTACACTAAAAAAATTCACTTCTAGACAATCTGCATCTTCACCCATCTCTTTGCCAGCCACACCTCTTCAGCTTGTCCATGTTAAGGTTGCATCACTGGCTAGATCAAAGATGTGGGATAGTACATTGTCATTTGTAAGCCAGAACTGAATTCTGGCCTGAAGGAAGACAACTTAAAAAAAAAGTCTTTGTGAGCTGTTTTCCTCAGAAATTATTTCTGCTCATTTAAGACTCTGAGGGGTCAGACACAGACAGGATATCTGCTGTCATTTAGGTAGCTCTCAGCATGCTCCATGCAAATTGTATTTGCTCTATCTGATGGCAGGCTTCAGGGTACACTTGTATTGTCATAGTGTTAAGTAAAAAATCAGGGTGAAAGAAAGTATGCCAGTGGTAAGCCTCACGGACTCACAATACGCCTTGAGAGAGTTTTGAGTGATGGCCAGCAGGTCGTCAGTGCCCAGACTCTGTACAGGCACAGCCTATAGGCACGGCATCCCTTGGTGCCTTGGTGGCAGGAGAGAACAGAGAGCTCATTTGGATGCTGATGCAGAAGGGAGGGCTCAGGCTTTGTCACTGAGATGAATCATGCCCTTGGACTGCTATGTGATTAAGCATGGAAACATATCAGTTATAGATTAAAAATAATTAATAATTCGGCCATTTAGAAACACATTGTAAAAAGATAGTTTTGACTGAAGCAGATTTTTTGACAGAGGTCAAATATTTCAACAACAATGTAGGATTGAAAATGTATAAACATTTATTTATTAATGATCCAACTGTACTGAATAGCTTTAAAAAAAATCTGCCTAAATGCCATGTAAGTTGCGCTCTTTAACTTTCCTCAAGATAGATTTCCTATACTTGAGATCACCTTGGTAGCTTATGTCCAGGGCACTACGTTTAGGCAGATACACCAAAAATAGATTCAGTAACTAATTCTATAGGACAGCAATGTTGCCTATTAATTGCTTTTTGGTATTTATAAACCCAAAGACCATGTGTGCTTTTTTTGTTCTAGCACCTGATGGAAGTTCCACGGTGAAACTAATACCACTCATTACATAGAAGACACTTTCAGCATGGCCAGTGGCAGGCAAAGCTTAGGAATCAACTTAACATAAAATCATGGAAGTTGAGGCTTTTCATTCTCTGTAAGTCATTACTCCTTTTTTTGTTTCGTAGAAGAGTGTATCTGAAAAGTGAAAAGGCAAAGAATACAGAATTTCTAAACTTTCATTTTGTTATTGTGGATTTAATAAGTTTCTTTAGTAGAAACAGAGCGAATACCATGCTTATCAATTGCCATTGGTATGTCCTTCTTGAAGGCATTCAACTTTCTCAAAAAATGCTAAAACACATCTGTTTATTCTGCACCAAGCATAGCTCTTACACAGCATGTCTTTTGGAAAGCTGCTAGAACACAACATGGTAGAGTGCAAGTACTTGCTCTCAGAGAATTGCCAGTCTCCCGATCAAGAAATTTCATTAACAAGGCTGATGGTTTGCTATGATCCAGATTTTATTATGGGGAAAATAGAAAAACAGAAAGAAAATAGAGTAACTATAAATCACAAGATTAACATTAATGCTGTTTTATATGTTAAATGAAAAATCAAAAATGGAAAATATTAAAGTCATTTAGAGATTCCATAAGCCTAAGGCAACAAGAAATGCTTCTATAAGTAGCTAACACTGGCCTTCTGTGATTATAAATCCACTGAACTACATCTGCAGCAATCTACACCCATATAAAACCAAATCTGTTAAAATGAATGGGGGATGTTTTCCCTATGTCAGGCTAAACAAGGTGGGGAAAATATTTTTCCCCTCCCGCAGAATCCTGAGAGCCTCTTTTCTAACTTTTGTGAATTTCATGCAGTCAGTTTTTTGGCTACTTTCTATTGGATTTAAAACAGAGATACTAATTTTGTGCACCTTCAAGAAGAAACAGGAGCTGTGTAGTGAATGAAGCACTTAGTGGCATTTACCACCACCAAACCCTGACACATACACACATGGCAAAGAGAGGCCAGCCCTTACCTGAATTTCCTCCACCAAGTCCTCAATCCAGATGAACTCACAAACTGAGCAATCAGAGATGAAGGCTATAAACCGAACGCACCATTTTCTAACTCTTACCAGAACAGAGGGAAAAGACACGGGTGTCTGGTAGGGGTGGTGGTAGCAGTGAGGACAGGAAAAGGGAATGAAGACAAGAAACTTAAATAATGTGAGAAGGGAGCAGAAGTACTGCAAAAGAGGACTCCACACATTGGAGGACTACCTGGGTACACTGCAATAAATAGAAATATTAGGAAATCTGAGGTTACCATTGTATGGCTGAGAGTGTAAGGGATGTAGGACCCAAAACCACCAGTGTTAGTTTCATTGCCTATCAAACAGCTTGCTGTACTGGAAGGCACATTTGATAAATCTGGATGCAGGTACTATATCCCTCTTGAATGAAGTTAAAACAGTTATGAGCAAGTAAAGAAAGAAGCAATCCACTGAGAGCACCATTCTAGAATTCAGATTACCTTCAAATTCTGCAATATAAAAACTACAAAGAAAAAGGATAAGTACTTAAATTCCCCTAATCAAATCCTCTTTTTTTACTTTTGGTACAGTTACAGACACTAATAGCTATGTAGTTCAATGTCCTATAGGATAATACGGTTTCTCCTAAATCAGATAATTATTGCGATGTTTGATATCCCTGGCCACAAACATTGAAGCAAAGCGTGGTGTTTCACAGATCACTGCCATTATGAAATGGTGTCGGTAATCACACTTACCTGTCTCTTCTCAGTTTCCTTGCATAAAACTGTACCAAAACCATACTTATTTTGCTTTTCATTTGGTGTTTAAATAACAGCAATGGGATATGCTAACTAGGAGCTTTTAATACAGGAGCTGATAATATAGGGATGTTTTAGCTATTGCTGACCAGTGCTTACACAGAGTCAAGACCTTTTCTGCTGCTCAGCAAGCAGGCTGGGGTGCACACAGCCAAGACAACTGACCCAAAATGACCAGAGGGATGTTTCATACCGTATGATGTCATGGTCAGCAATAAAATTAGGGGGAAGGTTGGTTGAGGTGCTGCTGCTCAAAGACTGGCTGGGCATTGGTTGGTTGGTAGTGAGCAATTGTTTTATTTGCATAACTTACCTTTCTTGGTCTCTTTTTGTTGTTTTCCTTTTCATTATTATGATTATAGTATTTTAATTATTAAACTGTTTTTATCTCAACCCATGAGTTTTCTCACTTTCACCCTTCCAATTTTCTTCTCCCCATCCTGCTTGTGTGCGAGCAATGAGTGAGAAGCTATGTGGTGTTTAGTTGCCAGCTGGGGTTAAACCATGACAGGTTGTATGTGGGAGCTGTACATCTGCCATATGATTGTACATAGTACCATTTGTACACAGAATTGTCAGTTTGTGCATACTCTGTTAACACGAGATATACTGGAGGCACATGCTGCTACCAGAAAAACATCACACATAACCACTGCTTATGCTCTTTCCCCAGCACAACCAAGGAAGTATTAGCTGTACCAGCAGCTGCAGCCTGCTCCTGAAAGGTAGAAACTTCTACGTTATCTTCTGTCAGATGATGAATGAGTATGCGTCACCTCCATTGAGGTTAACTGTCTTCATTAAATAAATGTTGCCCTCATTATACAGACACTAAAGAATTTCAATGGAATTCAATCTTTGATGTTAAATGTCTGGTAATGCTATATATAAATGATAATTACTGGCAGCATCCAGCAT